AATTCGAGCTATCTGAATGATGAAGCTAAGATGGAACCATTCGGCTCACATGACCAAGCTGTATAGTCCTAATGTATGTGGTATGCTACGCATGCTATCAAAATCGCAGAAAGCTTGAAGGTTATTCTGGTCTCCATAAATGATACTTTGGCCCTACCGATATGTGGCATATAGTATCAGATAGCTCGAATTCAGGGGTATAAATGATACTTAATTAATGAGCGATTCAAATTTACCGCTCTGTTAGACCATTCAATTGTGCTTGGAAGACTTAGCAAGGCCCCTTCTTGAAATAATCTCAAATATGACTGTGCTCTGAGTGTCGTGCCACATGTTCAAGACGTCAGAAAACTGAGTATACATTGTGTCTAAAGTTGGGTCTTCTGCGACGTGATATCAGTGCCTGAATGCCGTCAAATGACATTAGAATTGCCATTTTAGTCGATGCATGTGAAAGATAAAATATAATTTAAAAGCTAATTTCAAGGCTTCACTCTAGCCTAATCGCATACAAGATCACGATAGTCGAATTGGTCGTCTATTATGGTCGCATTCTCCTTTCATTATATACGACTGGATAATAAGTAGCATGATTATCACAAGCCTAAGATTAGAGGACAAGGAATTCTGGGATGAAAAATTAGTCAAATCTACTCGGATGTGTCTTGGCGACGAATATCCGATAGAAAACATACAGAGGCATACAAGCTTTGAAAAGCAAATGGTGTGGTGGAGAGTATGAAAGGAAAATAAGGAGAAAAATGCAAAAGCGGATATGCCTATCGTCCTACGAAGTAAATGTTAAACCAGAACCAATAGTAAAAAAATAGATTAATCAAATAATCAAGAGAGAAAAAATATCATTAAACACAAGCAACATGAGGTGAACAAATTTGCCTGATATGCGGCGACTGTGAGTAAAAGAATGTTGATGAAACAAGAAAAAAGATTAGCAGACAGATGAATAAACATCAGTTTCTACAGAAAAACGAATGAATAAGGATCAAAAATAGTGGAACACGTTTGATAAACTAGAAATGAGATCAACTAGAAGCAACAGAAAGAAAGGCCTCATGCAGAGGAAATACAAGGAAACGAAAGGGAGGCCGTCGATATCATTGCTGAAGATTAAATAACCAAAAGATTGGAGGAAGGCCGAAGTAGCAAACTCGGAGCAGACAGGGAAACGACAAGATCAGCACAAAGGAGACGGCTAGAGAGGTGTTCATTTTATTTCGTTTAAGATTATGGTAGTTGAATTAACCCACAATGATATGAATAGAGTTGACGGTTCGATTGTATTTTACATAGCCTTGCTTCCCAAAAGGTATTCTCATTCAGGCCAGACTGGACTGCAGTTTCGGCATCGCCCGGGTCTCATCATCACTCCTACCGGGACTCGGACCATGACAGTGCAGCGTATAATCTCGACACGTTAATCACAACGCCTCATTGCCACTAGTGACTATGTTTCACAGGACAGATGTGAATTTCAAGGAAGGCCAGACATTTTTCCATATCACATTCTGTGATGGGATCGTCGATTAAGCAAAGTTATATTTGCTATGCTAATCGACTACACTATTATATTTCGTTTGCAAGTAGAGTTCCGAATGCTATAGAAAATAAAACTTTGCCTCATCGTTAATCCCACCACGGAATGTGATATGAGAAAATACCTGGCCTTCCTTGAAATCCATATCTCCCCTGTGACCCAAGGTCACTCGTGGTAATGAGGCGTAATGATCAACGTGTCGAGATTATACGCTGCACTGTCATGGTCCGAGTCCCGCTAGGAGTGCTGATGAGACCCGAGCGATGTCAAAACTGCAGTCAAGTCTGGCGTGAATAAGAATACTTTTTGGAAAGCAAGGCTATGTAAAATCCAATAGAAACGTCAGCTCTACTCATATCATTGTGGGAAAATTCAATTATCAGTCCTTCATCAACTTAAAACAAATAGGGTGAACGTAACTCATGCCTTATTTATTGGTAATCTCGAAGTCTGACTTGCAATCGAAATATCAGTTTTGGTTACAGCCTTACCTCTTACATAAAGCGTTCCTACGCTCGTGACATGTAATTATTCGGTAAAATAGGAACCGAACAAGATCCTATTGCCAGGCCATATCCGTGTCCATAAAGCCTAATGCTGAAGAAGAAGATAGATTAAGTGGCCTTTGCTCGGATTTGCTCCCTCAGTAATAACTGAAAGTTCATCCAGGCTGAGTGCCTGCTGAACTGGAGGTTAGTATACAATGAAACCAGAGGGAAACGCATCAAAAGGTCCTCTCTAATAGTCTGCTCATATACCAACCGATACTCAGCCACTTTCCTTAATTGTCTGCATAAGAAACAAGAAATATTAGGCATCAGTTTCCCCGTGTGTGTCCTTATAAGGCCGTCAGCTGAAGGTGCTCTAGCGTCCCGTTAAAAGGAGAATTCAGTTTCCACTGCTTCATTTCGCTCTTGCTTCTACAGACGTTAAGTGAATCGCTAAGTCTGACTTCCAGACCTTCTGTTTGATCCTTCACTTTGAGCCACCAAGGCTGATTTGGTGCATATACGAACACATGGCGACACATTAAGAAACATACGCACGCACAAACACAGTCACATGTTTCGAAGCTCATCAACAATACATAGGCTATATATACAATATTTATGAATGAGTCGGTAAATTTTCTTGACTCGTTAGCTTGAATATGGTTGTAAGGATGATAACCTGCTCTGATGACGTCTTTCATCTGACGGATGAAAGCTTAGCATGTTTTCACCTAAATCGGGAGATATTGCCTCGGGAACAGCGTCAAAAAGAATGTTCCAATAAAACCAATTGGCAACTGGTCAAGAGGAATCCGCCGTCATCTTCTGATGGGATCGGCCTTCGAATCTCTTCACCAGACACTTTTACTCGAAATGTAAATGAGCTCAAATATTATAAACCAAGAGAGTCCTCGAAACACACATTTAATTCGCTTGAATAAAGAGTTATATCACACTCGTTCGACCGGACGTTGGTCAAAGGAATGGACTAAAGGGTCTCCGGCGCGCAGTAGCTTAATGCTAAAATGGCGAGGCCAAGTGAGATACGAATACGCTAGGCGAAACTCCCTTGAATGTACCAGGCCCATGGTCCAACTAATATGGCAGAGAACTTTGGATAAGATGTTCTCAACTAGGTCTCTCTGACTACAAGACCAAGTTGCAAAAACTAAGGAAACTCACTTCAACAACTTCAGTCTATTTACGGTCCGCATTTTATTTGGGGAAAAAACACTTAAGCGTATGTAAGTATAGATTCGAGACTACCAGTAAGTCACTAATATGAGATGTATTCACCCTATTTCATTTAAGGTGATGAACGACGTCTCGAAACTCTACTTACGTAGGAAAAATAAGTAATGTAGTCGATTGTTATAGCAAAAATACGCTTGCTTCATCGACAATCCCACCAAAGAATGTGATATTGGAAACGGCCTGACCTTCCTTGAAATTGGCATCTGCCCTGTGAACCAACGACACTCGTGTCAATGTGGCCGAGTGGTTAACGTGCCGGACTCACATGCTGCACTGTCACGGTTAGCCTCCCGCTGTGGTTGTTGATAAGACCTATTCGAAGTCGAACCTGCCGTCCACTTCTGTCTGGATGAGAAGACCTTCTGGGAAAGTAAGGCTCTGTGAAATTCAAAGGAAATGTCAGCTCTACTTAAACGAGATAGAGTGAATACATCTCATGATG